AAAAAAAAAAAGTACACATAAACTTGTTCTTGAAAACCTATGGCATAAGTTAACCCTAGGAGAACCCAATTGTATTAGCTTCATTTTACAGATGAGGTAACAGGCAGACAGTAGGTCTAACTTGTTACAGTGGTGAGGATTCAGAATGAAATCGCCTAAGCCAGATATAGTGGTGCATATCTATAATTCCAGTGCTTGGGAGGCCGAGGCAGAAAAAGCACCACAAATTCAAGGCCAGGCTGGGCTACACAGTGAGACCCTGTATAAAAAAATCCAATAGCCTGACTCTAAAAGCTGATGTCACTATACTTAATTATCTACAGCTTGGCAGGTGCTACAATGGAGTTTCACACAAAGATCCATGGGAGCCACATTTGCAGCCAGCCAGGGTGGGGGTCAAGGGAGATGATATCTGAGCAAGTCCCTGTGGAGGAACTTGCAAGGCCTATAAGGAGAAAGGCATTACAGCAAGTAAGAGAACAACATGTTTGTAAAGGACCCGAGACTGAACATGCACCCTACATCCCTATTAGAAATGGGTTGGGGGAAGGGCGTGGGGAAGAAGCGTGGGAGGAATCATTGGAGCTGATTCTAGAGCGTTGATGAACTTTCTACAGGGGAGTGGCCAGATCAGATCAGCTTTCATTTGCGCTGGATCACAGGTCCTCCATGAAACAGCAGAAAGGATTGAAGGCCCACAAACCAGGCGAGGTGGGGAGCCAGGGATGAGCTCAGAAATCTTCCATGGAGGGTGGGTCTCCACGTTACCCTAGCGTGGCCAGAGCACAGCTTCAAAAAGCGTTTGGGAAAAAGCTGTCCAAGCAGAAATGACTCCCGGTGCCCTCAGACGAAGATGGGTACAAACTCAAGACCCAAAGGTCTAAAAGAGAAGGACGGTAGGCAAGTGAGGGGACCTTGCCTGGCTTCCCCTGGCTTCAAGCCTCCAGGGCACCCCGCCCCACCCGCGTCCGGGACACCCTCCTGGGGCTGCCGGCTCACCCTGACTCAGCTCCAAGCCCCTGCGGCCTCCCTCCTCCAGCGCCAGGCGCAGCCTCGGCCCGTCAGCTGAGCTGCCCACTCCCATCGCCAGGTGCCTGTAGCCGGCCGCGAACCTGCAGAGCGCGTCGAGCGCCGCCCGGCTTTCGGCGGTCGCCGCGTCCTCCGGCTCACGCGGCCCAGGTTGTCTCTGCATCCCGCCGCTGGGCCGCGTGGACCCGGCCCCGAGGGGTGTTCGGGGCGCCTAGGACGGCAACCCAGCCTAGGGGGTGCTGAGACCCGCTTCCCGCAGCCAGTTCTCCCCTCATTCAGCCACCAGCTTTGCAATGTTTGCTTTTATTCCTTCTGGACACAGAGCCTGAAGGGGCAGCGCCTCCCGGGTGGGGCTGGGACCGATGGGCGGGGGTGGAGCTGCCCACGCCCCAGGGAAGTGCGGTCTCGGAGGAGCCTGCGGCTGGCTCCTTACTGCACGCCCTCCATCATCTTCAGGAACTCTGCAAGGAGGAGAAGAGCGGAGGTCAGGGGTTCCTCTCGGGACAGGACGCAGCGGCCTGCGGGGTCCCGGCGCACGGGGGGTGCCCCGTCCCTAACCGCCTGGTGCCCCCACCCTCGATCAGACTATGCCAGCCCCGCCCGCCGGAACCCCAAGCTCCGCAGCCCTCACCGTCGAAGTCGATGCGGCCGTCGTTGTTCTTGTCCCCATCTTTCATCAGGGATTCGATCTCCTCGTCTGTCACGTGCTCCCCAGAAGCCCTGAAAATCTCAGCCAGCTCCTCAGCATCAATGTAGCCGTCTGCGTTCCTGCGGGAGGAGCCGTGGGAAAGGTGAGTCGCCGCTGGGCCACGCTCCCGGCCGGACGCCCCTCTCACACCCCCAGCCTGAACACCCCACTCCCCCAGGGCACCTGTCGAAAACGCGGAAACACTCAGCCAGCTCCTCCTCGCTCTTCCCCTTCGCGTCCTCTTTCATCTGGCGCACCATCATGACCAAGAACTCCTCGAAGTCGATGGTTCCGCTGCCTGAGGAGTACAGGCTCCTGAGCCCGAGCCCTGCCTCCTGCCCTCCTGCCCGCCGCCCGCCACCCGCCTCGCAGTGCCACCCGCTCACCATCCTCGTCCACCTCCTCGATGATGGCGTCCAGCTCCTCTTTCGTGGGGGTCTGGCCCAGCATCCTCATCACGGTACCCAGCTCTTTGACGCTGATGTCCCCACCACCATCAGCATCAAACATGTCAAAAGCGGCCTTGAACTCTGCGGGGAGAAAGTGCAGCACGCTGGGGAGAGGTGGGCTGGACCCGCACTCCCAACCCTGCCAGACTCTGCAAAATTCCCCAGCGCCAGCCCTTGCTCACCAGCGATCATCTCCTCGCTGAGGTAGGACCGGGCCTCAGCCTGCTGGTCCGTCTGCAAAAGACACAGAGTCAGAGAGCAGAAAGGGCAGCTCTGTTCTCTTTGCCCCCTGACTTCTGTGAGGAAGTGTCCCTGGGTGCCCCCCAAGAACCATTCTAAACTTGACACACTTTTTCTGTTTGTTTTTGGTGGAATCGGGGAATGAGCTCAGGCCCTTGCGCTTGCCAGGGAAGTGTGTTTTTTTGTTTTTTTTTGGAACCGAGGATTGAACTCAGGCCCTTGTGCTCGGCGGGGAAGTGCTTATTCCACTGAGCCATCTCCCCAGCCCTTGACACATTTTCTAATGCCCCATCAGCACGCACACCCAGTACTGAGAACAAAAGGAGGCAGATCATGCTTGTCCACCAAAAATCAGGTGCGGAACTACCCAGCCCACCCCTCTCCGGTGACCTTGGATAAGTCTCTGCCTCTCAGCATTTTTCAGGGATAAAATGAAATCAAGGATGGGGGAGGGCTCTGTAACCTGTCCACACCATTCCAGCATGATTTTACAGTTTTCTCTCTTAATCTTTTCTGGTATTTTCATAGTTGCTCAATAAACGTCCTCAAGTAGCCAGGGAGACGGCTCAGTAGAATAAGCGCTTCCCTGGCAAGCGCAAGGGCCTGAGTTCAATCCCCAGTTCCACCAAAAAAATAAAAAATTTTAAAAAGTAAACATCCTCAACAAAGTAATAGTTCAACACAATTATTGAGGACCTTCTTAGTGTCAGATCACTGAGAAGAGATGGACGCATCATTCCTTCCAACAGAATGTGCAAAGATGGAGATGTTAAGCTTCCTTCTGACAGTTCAACCCTTGGAGTAAGTGCTGCCAGAGTAGGCAGAGGGTGAGAGGAACTTGGCATGAAATAAGGTTTCTTCAGGGGTTCCAGGTCACATCCAAGCCAGGCTGTCTGGGTTGGGGGCTCTCGACTGGGGCTAGTGGTGAGGACACCGTGAGGTGTCCCAGGAGTTCCTCAGCCAGCTGGCTCCAGCCCTAGTCCCACCCTGTTGCCAGGAGGGCAGACTATTTTTAGTCAGGCATGGGGAACAGCAGCTGGCCTCTGGGGTCTAGTTACTCCTTGAAGTGGGGAGGGGAATCTCAGAGGAAAATGACAACCCCCAGTCAGGGCTTTGCTGTGGGAGGCTGGGGTCTCCCTAACTCTGTCACCTTCATCCCATTCCCATCAGCCTCAGGACTTTTGGCGCTCTACACCGGAGCTTGCTGCAAGCTCTGCAGGTATGCCATCTTCCAGAGAAGCCCTTCTTCCCTTGCTGACATAGGAGGGTTTGGCAGGGCTCAGAAAGTCAGTCCACCCTTGCCACTAACTCGCTGGGTGACCCTGGTCCTCAGGGTCCCTGTCTCTACTACAAAGAAGACCAGCTAAGAGCCCCTATGTATGAAATTGCTGGAGGTCTCAGAAGGCTGACTGAGGACCTCAACCCTTGAAGATCAATCCCTGGTACATCCCAGGTCCCCACATCCAGGAGAAGTCAAATGTCTTTGCACCTGGGGTTTCTCCACGACTCCTGGGCCCCAGAACCTTCATGTTCCACCTTCAAAGGCCCAAGTTTCCTCCCACAGAGCAGATCACTTGAAAGAGGCCTAGAAGTACTTCAGTAAGCAAAGGAGTGAAGACCCTTCTTGCCCTTACCATGGTTGCTGGTCACTCGGACTCCTCTCCTGTGGATTCCCTCCTCTGCACTCCACCACCCAAAGATGCCCTGGCCAACCCCAGCCCCCAAGATTTGTATGGGCACCCTCTCCACCCACCTCCCTGCTCCCCAGGACTGGATACCCTGCCCAATCAGATCTTGGGGTCAGCAAGCCCCACCCCACCCAGAGTCCTGGCCCATTACCTAATTTAGCCAAGGGCCCTTGCAGAGAAATTTAAGCCTCTGAGCAGGTGGCAGGCCTTGACATCCTAGATTCTTCTCAGGAGGGCCCATCCTGCACCACTGCCTAGGAGAGCACACCCCCACCCCTAGCCCTGCCAGGAAGAACACTTGCTCCAAGATGGGTGAGGATAGTTAGGACAGTGACAAGCATGGCAGCAGAACAGAAAAGGAAGAGCACAGACTTGAAATCCAAAATTCAAGAAGCATCCCTGCCTGGGCAGGGTGTGTGTAATTTTAGGCAGGTAGCGATGCTGCTCTGAGCCTGCTTGCTTCCTCCCCAAGGTGGAAATAGTCATAACCTCCTTCCTGGACAGAGAAACCCTGCAGATCACACACTTGGTATAAGTCACCTAGCTTGTGCCAGGTTCACAGGGTTGGTGCGTGGTGAGTGGAATATCCTGTCTCAACCATGATAAGGGGTGAGGGAGAGATGAAAGAGTGATAACTAAGTCACTGTTTATTGAACTTCTAGGATATGCCACATTCTATGCTAAGCATTTCAAACACCTGATCTCATGTAGTACTCGCTCTATGAGACGGCAACTATTATTATCTCCATTTGACTGGAGGGCTTTGCAAATCATAGAGGTCCATAGTCACACTGGCAACTCTGTGTGTGTGTGTGTGTGTGTGTGTGTGTGTGTGTGTGTGTAGATTGAACCCAGGGCCTCATGCAAGCAACTGTACCAATGAGCTACTTCCCAGCTCTTAAAAAAAAAAAAAATTAAACAGGTTCTCACTGTTGCCCAGGTTGTTCTCCTGGACTCCTGCCTCAGCCTCCCAATGGGATTACAGACACGTGATAGCACATCCATCTTTTGGAATTTCTGAGTCATCCTGCTTGGGGACAAGTTGAGACTGCCATGAGGAAGGGTGTCCAGAGTGCACAGAGAGATGAGGGGGTACATTTGGAGAAGTCTCTTTTTGTAGTGCTGAGGACTGAACCTGAGGCTTTGCACATACTAGGTAAGTGCTCTACAAATTAAACTAGATCTCAGTCTTTTTATTGTTTTTTTTTTTTTCTAGACAGGGTCTTGCTCTCCAATTCAGGCTGGCCTTGAACTCACTATGTGAACTCATGGCAATTCTGCCTCCCGTGCACCACCACACCCAGCTCAAGGAAGAAGTCTTTGCAAATTGAAAATAAAGATTCTTCTTTCAAGTTACTTTTCTCTAGGGAAAGAGGTTTTGGGATTCAGTTTACAGGGAGGGAGGGACAAGAGAAGGTTCTCTAAGTGGTAAAGGGGCAGTTGACTCCTTCCTTGAATTCAGTGAAGAAATCTATGGGCCCTGGAGATTGCTGGACCGTCTAAGCGCCTGCATGGCAAGTGCAAGGACCTGATTTGATCCTAGTACCACATGCCCTGCCGGCCCCACTCTGTGCCAGCCGCTGAAACCAGGCATGGCGGCACACACCTGTAATCCCATTGCTGGGGAAGCTGAGATAGGAGGATCACTATGAATCTGAGCTGCATAGCAAGACCTTGTACTAAATAAATAAATAAATAAATAAATAAAACCTAGGCATTCCATGGGTCCTCTGGAGGGGCAAGCCAGATCTAGTCCAAAGGGAGCAAAAGGATCAAATTCCTTAGGCTGCAGATCTCAACTGCCCCTCCAGTGTCATCCCAAGAATCCACAGGGTCCAGGCTGGACAGAGAAAAGTAGGCAAACCTCATGGACAGTGGCTAAGCCAACTGAGAACAGGGTCTGAGGCCAGGAAAGTGGGGTAAGACACCAAGGAATGCAGACAGACAGTGGCAACTGGGCTGCCCCTTTCCCCTATATATAGACATTCCCAAGGAAGACTCAGCAGAGCCAGGTCAGGCTAAATAAGGCCTCCCACAGCCAGAAAGCAGCCCCAGGGTGATACTCAGAGGATTCCATCTTGGACAAAGAAAAAAAAAAAAAAAAACATTGGGAGCCAGGTGTGGTGGTGCATGCCTGTAATCCCAGCACTCAGGAGCTGAGGCAGGAAGGATTGTTGCAAATTTGAGACCATCCTGGGCTACAAAGTGAGCTCACAGCCAGCATGAACTGCAGAGTGAGACTCTGACTCAAAGACTAGAAAAAAAACAAATCTGGGACTACTGTACTAGGTCCCTTTGAAACAGAAGGCATGGAACCCTCAGCAATCACTGTGTATCAATTTGTTTTTGTTTCTTCAAGGAGATAGATAAGGATCAAATTCCTTTGTGTGGCCAAGCAAGGTCCTAACTTCCTCTCCAGTGTCACTGCCCCTCTCTTCCTTCACCTTGTTTATCGTTTTAAAGTGTTGTTTTTTGTTTTTTTTTTTCAGTATCAGGAATCAAACTCTGGACCTTGTGCTTGCCAGGCAAACACTTATTCCACTGAGCTATCTTCCTGGACCTTGTTTGCTGTTATATACTTTTATTCTGACCAGACTTTGTAGGGATTCATGGGTCTCGGTGTAATCCCCTCTACCCAGGGGAAATGGCAGCAGGAATGAGGAAAAGAGAGAAGACATGAGCTACTTTAGGTGGTGATTCCTCTGGCTGGTGGGCAAGAGGACCCACCCAACAACAATGTGTACATTTATTTATACTTTTGCAACGTTAGTAACACCTGATACACGTTTGCCTAGTTTTTAATAGCTGACATTAACCAGTCCAGATGCTTATCTCAGGACTGAGGTAGCTTGTCTGCTTTGGGCACTGAGGCCTAGTCCTGCTTACACACATTTGACCAATTTTCTAGCTTGCATGGCTCCCAACAAGACTTCAGTATTTAAATACTGCTCCAAACACCACTCTGTAGGACCACTCATGCCTTTGCATTTATTGTTTTATTACACCAGAAACACTTGACTTTCCTCTCCTCACCTGCTTACTTGGCAGTCCTTTCTTGGCTTTCACCTCACTTTCTCTGCTGCGTTGCCTCCTCTACACACAGGCTGGGCTCCAGGCAGGGCAGTCTCTAGCGGTCTTTTCAATCATAGCACTACACATGCCCTGTGACCACGACCTGTTCTGAGTTCCACCAGTTGTCTCATTCAGCATCAAAATTTCTAGCACCCAGTGCTTGGCCCATAGCAGGGCTTTTTTTTTTTCTTCCCCTCCTCCCCCACCCCTACCTTCCAGATTTGGGGGATCCAACCTAAGGCCTTTCCCATGCTAGGTAAGCTCCCCAACTTTTTTATTTATTTATTTTTTTGGACAAGGTCTTTTTATGCGGTTCAGGCTGGCCTTGAATTCACTACATAACCCGAGCTGAGGACTTGCAGTTATCCTCTTGCTTCAACCTTTCAAGTGCTGGGTTTACAGGTATGAACCACTATTATAATAAAACATAAATTAAAAAGGGCTAGTGATATCTCTCAGAGGAGACCCTGGGTTCAATCCCTGCAAAAACAAAAGATAAATCAAAGAGCTCCAGAAAAGCTGCCGAGATTACCAGGCCTAAAAGTAACCAGAGCTCAGAAAGCTCAAACAAGCTACTTTTGACTCTGGACAAGCAAGTCAGCCTCTCTGGGTCTCGGTGTCCCCGTTTGCCTACTTCTCGTGTGTGTGTGCCTCACATGGGACTATAAAATCCTGTAAACACCACCGAGACATTACACAATAATCATTATGTAAAGGACCATCTCCTCAGCTCCTGCCCTATGTCAGGCAGGGAACTAACTCGCAAGTAGAGCTTTTGCCTCCCAAGCACGAGGCCTTGGATTTCATACCCGGCACGCGAATGTACACACACTGCAAATTTCGTGTGTGTGTGTGTGTGTGTGTGTGTGTGTGTGTGTGTGTGTGTGTGTGTATTTTACATGCATGAGAAAACAAGCTCAGCACAATCTGATTCCATCTTCTCGTGACTTCAACTTTCTCTCCAGAGACTCGGGTTCCCTCATGTTGCACAATTACACTGTAAAAGCTGTAAATTAAAGGAGCTCCACGGGCTGTCCCGGGAGGCAGGATGGGGCGACTCCGTGGGAGGCCTGGGGCTCGCTCAAGCTGACCCAGGATTCCCTCGTCCCCTGCTGGACCCGGAGGCCCGGCATTCCAGGGCGGTCCCGGAGAGCGGGAGGGGCCGGGGGCGGGGCGGCGGCAGGAAGCGGCCTGGGTAAGCCGGGGAGGCCGTCTAACGAGCCCCGGGGAGCGGCACGCCGGGGAGTGCACCCCGGACGCTGCAGGCGGAGGCATGTGAGGGGACGAGAGGGACCCGAGGAGGTCTGGGGCAGCTTGGCTCCTGCAGCGGTCGGGGGCGGGGTCCCCACCGCGCCCCTCCTTCTGCGGCCTGGGCCCCGCCCTTGCTCCCCGCGCCCAGCGGGGTCCTCCCGCCCCGGCCCGGGACCTGGCTACGCCGCTCCCCCGGGGTGCAATGGCTTCACGGCTCCTGCACCGGCTGCGGCACGCCCTGGCCAGTGATGGCCCGGGGGAGGCGGCTGCGGCGGCGGGCCCGGAGGTCGAGCAGTTTCCCGAAAGCTCCGAGCTGGAGGACGACGACGCTGAGGGCCTGTCCTCCCGCCTCAGCGGCACCCTCAGCTTCACCAGTGCCGAGGACGAAGAGGACGAGGACGACGAGGACGAGGAGGACGCCGGCCCCGACTCGCTACCCGCTGGAGACGGGGCATCAGGAGAAGACGCAGGCGAGTGCGCGAGAACGGAGACGGGAGCCTTGGGTTTGGCTAGGCCTCCATCCCGGCCGCGTTCCCGATCATCCTGGATGCCCTGAGTGGATCCAGCTGAAACTCCTGACTCTTCTTTAAACGCCTCCAGCAGCGTCCTTAAGAGAGTCACAGCACCCCTCTGGGCCAAGTTCTCCCCTTGTATCAAATGGGAGAAATCACTTGCATCTCCAGGTTTTTGCTGGTGTTAAAGGCACAGAACCAGGGCTGCAAATCTGTGCTGATGTACTGGGGTGTTTTGGGGGTGGAGCTGTTTAGTGCCTACTGTCTGCCAGCTGTAATCTGTATCCCTCAGTTCTGTAAAGTGGGGAATAAAGCCTACCTCACAGGCACGAGGTTTCGGCACATGGTTTAGTTGACCCTGGCTCTAGGCCCCTTGATATGACCTGCCATGTGCTTGTGCAGAACGAAGTTCCCCACCCGATGGGCAGCGGGGCAGTCAACTCCTGGCCCGGCAGCTTCAGGATTTCTGGAAGAAGTCTCGAAACACCCTGGTACCCCAGCGGCTGCTCTTTGAGGTGACCAGTGCCAGTGTTGTCAAGGACCCGCCCTCCAAGTACGTGGTGAGTGAGGTCCCAAGAAGCCCCAGGGCTGTGAGTCTAGAAGTCTGGTTAAGAGAAAATAGGGGGGGCCTGGGAGATGGCTCAGTAGGATAAGCACTTGACTGGCAAACGCAAGCATCTGAGTTCAATCCCCCGTCTTCCTGTAGGTTCTGGTTGTGTAGTTGTATACATGAGTGCTCTACTTTACAGATGGGAAAACTGAGGCCAGAAAGGGGATTTAATATCAGTAAGTCCTCAGGCAAATGATTTAGTTTGTCTGAGACTGAGTAAAATGGTGATTAAAGATCTGACTCCTATCCTGCTTTTTAAATTTATTTTTGTCTTTTTGAGACAAGGTCTCACTATGCAAGTCAGGCTGGCCTTAACCTAACTTTGCAGTCCAGGCTGGTTTCAAACTTGCAACAGTCCTCCTGCCTCAGCTTCCTGAGGGCTGGGATTACAGTATGCACCACCACACCCAGCCCCAGTCCTGCTTTTTAGACTTAAGAGAAATTGTGTATTTTTCCTTCCCCCCAGGTATTTTCCACTGTAGCAAAAGATAGATTTGAGACCCAGTTGCATAGGTTAATAGCTAGGGAAACATGCTTGGGACACATCAGCTGTGATTCGCATACCACTTATTATTACCAGTTGTTTGACCTTAGGAGGGTTATATAATTTTGATCCCCACTCCCCACCACCACCACCACTTTCCACAACCAAGCAATGAGGATAACGCAGAGGATTATAGCAGGAGTTCCGTGAAACAGGGGATAGAGCCCTTGGCCTTGTGCAAGTGCTCCACTGGGCTGGGAATGTAGCTCAGCAGTAGAGCTCTTATGTACTACGTGTGAGTCCCTGGGGGTCCAACCCTTAATATCACAAACAAAGTGGTAGCTATACAGATTTGGCATCCTAATCTGAAATTGATAAATATGAAATGATAAATATTATATGAAGCTGTAAATGGGAAATGTCACACCTGACCTCATGTGATTGGTGGGAATCAAAACAAAATGCAATAGTTTAGAGATAGCCCCTGGGTTCAACCCTTAACACCATACACACACACACACACACACACACACACACACACACACCCTGAACTACCTTCAGGCTATATGTACAAAGTACATCTGGGACTTGGGTCTCATTCCTAAG